TCATGAGGTCAAGAGATGGAGACTGCCTTTTTTCCCTTTCCTGTTGCGAGGCGAGAGCTGCGCGAGGCGAGTGTCTCGGACGCTGTTTCTGGTTTTCATCATATAGACAGACCAGCCCTTCTGCAGAGATGGTCAACGTACCTAAAACCCGAAGAACCTTCTGTAAGAAGTGTGGCAAGCATCAGCCTCACAAAGTGACATAGTACAAGAAGGGCAAGGATTCCTTGTATGCCCAGGGAAAGAGGCGCTATGATCGGAAGCAGAGTGGCTATGGTAGGCAGACAAAGCCAATTTTCCGGAAGAAGGCTAAGACCACAGAGAAGATTGTGCTCCGGCTGGAATGTGTTGAGCCTAACTGCAGATCCAAGAGGATGCTGGCCATTAAGAGATGCAAGCATTTTGAACTGGGAGGAGATAAGAAGAGAAAGGGCCAAGTGATCCAGTTCTAAACTTTGGAATTTTTTCATTTAATATTGGAAAGAAAATGTTGAAGCTGTAGAAAAATTACCTGTAGGAAAATAAATACAGTGATATTCTTATGCAAAAAAAAAAAAAAAGAGAGAGATGGAGACTATCCTGGCCAACATGGTGAAACCCCATCTCTACTAAAAATACAAAAATTAGCTGGGCTTGGTGGCATGTGCCAGTAGTCCCAGCTACTCAGGAGGCTGAGGCAGCAGAAATGCTTGAACCCGGAAGGCGGAGATTGCAGTGAGCCGAGATCATGCCACTGCACATCAGCTTGGTGTCTGGCGACAGAGCGAGACTCTGTCTCAAAAAAAAATTAGCCAGGTGTGGTAGTAGACACCTGTAATCTCAGCTACTGAGGAGGCTGAGGCACAAGAATCACTTGAACCTGTGAGACAGAGGCTACAGTGAGCAGAGATCATGCAGAGATCACTACATTCCAGCCTGGACAACAGAGTAAGACTGCCTCTTAAAAAAAAAAAAAAAAAAAATCCATTGGAGAATAGACAATTGGGGAAAAAAAAGTCTCAAAATATTGTAATTAACAAAAGGTTGAAAAATAATTAGATGACCCTAAAGGATTGATTCTTAGATGAACCCTAAGGACAGAGTGTTCATTAATTTGTATAATGGTCATAGGTAGGGTAACCAACCTGTCCTGGTTTGCCCTAGACTTTCTTGCTTTTGGCACTGAAAGTCCCACATACAGAAATCCCTCTGTCCTGGGCAAATTGGGATGGTGGTCCACCCTCCTCATGAGGGAGATCAATGAAGGCATTCCCATTTCACAAATGAGGTGACACCAAGAAACACAGTGGTTGTCATGGATTTACAGCACTTCAACAGCATTCCTGAGGCAAGACTGGCTCTTTCCATTTGTCTAGTCCTATGATCAGAACTCTCTACCCCTGATTTCCACTTTGGCAGGAAATGTTACTCATGCATTGACTATGCCACTTCCCTCTCAACACCAAAGCCAAGGGGAGTAATCGGAGAATGAGGGCAGACATGACCAGCCAGCACAACCACACCCTTGTCTTATAGCCGGTGGAACCCCAAGTCTAGGCTGAACACAGTTCTGCTGCTACTGGATTCTGGGTAGAAATTTGCACAAGAAAGAATGCCCAGTATAAAACCTCAGTAGTTAGGAAAATTCCCTGAGGTTCTCCACGTGTGTCTGAGCAGCCTGGATCTTTTACAAGGTTTTTGTCCCAAAGATAAACTTAGTTATTGCTTATGCTAGAAATCAGGGATTGCCCAAAGCCTCACTCTGAATGGCAACAGGCTATTCTCCTACTCCCCTACTCAGCAGTGTAACCCTTGGTGAAAGTAAATGAAGAAAAGGGCAGGATATTCCCTCGTTAGACTACGTATAATTAAAATACAAGGCTCTCTGCTGCAGAAGACTAACGTTTGCAGTTTAAGACTGACTCAGAGAAGGATAAAATATTCATCCCCACTCAAAAAGAGAAAAGATTAGCTCCATAAGGATGGGTCTTCAAACTGACACCAAATCCAGGAGTTAGAGATGTGTGTGCTACAGAGCACAATCCAAGCCAGCTAGAGCCCTTGGAGAAATATCCCTAGGAATAGCAACCAAGGGACTAGCGTTGTAAGAACGTTCAGATTAGCGCTCCTGAAAAGAGGCTTTCTCCAAGGACTGGCAGACAGCCTCTGCAGCAGAGCTTCACTTAGGAAAGGACAGAAATGAAGGAAGAAAGACAAGGGGCAGTCTGACCAGGTCAGAGTATGAATTCGCACACATGTGAAAAAGAGAATCCAACTATTTCGAAAAAGGTACAACTTCCTTTTAGAGACTGTCATGTTCTTTTGAATATTTTCATTAATAGCACATCTTCATTCTTTGAGGGTGAAAACATTTATTACACCCCTGTGTCCCGAGAGCTTTCATGTGTATACCTAATTTAACCACCCTTCAAAATAAGTATTATTCCCACTTTTATGTAGAGGAACACTGAACCTCAGAGGTGAAGTAATTTGTCCAAGGTTATGTGGCCAATAAGTGGTAGACTCAGAATTAAAACTCACATTCACCACCCTCCAAAAATCTGTTATTTCTACTTCAAAAGAACCGTTAACTCATCTGAAGACAAATCAGGTGACAAGGTTGCTTACCCATGTCATTCGGGGATAAATATATGTAGGCTGTATGCAGTGGCTCACACCTGTAATCTCAACATTTTAGGAGGCCAAGGCAGGAGAATCGCTTAAGGTCAGGAATTCAAAAACAGCCTGGGTAACACAGCAAGACCCTGTCTCTACAAAAATTAAAATTACAAAATTAGCTGGGCCAGGTGGTACACCCCTGTAGTCCCAGCTACTCAGGAGGCTTTGGTGAGAGTATTAAACCCAGGAGTCCACGGTCGTAGTGAGCTATGATTATGCCACTGCACTCCAGCCTGAGCCACAGAGTGAGACCTCATCTCAAAAATATATATATATTGGGGGGGGCGGAATGGTTTAATAAGAAACTGATCTCTCACATGGTTCAAAAAGTTCTCTGAAAACAATTCCAGAAGTGGATTGTCAAAACTGCCTTGGACAACAGCCAAGTAACTTAGGCGATGCCACACTCAACTCCTACCACCTACACCTGCACCCACCACTCTAAAGGAGAACATTGGTGGATTAAGTTCCCACGTGCCTGTTATTTTAAAACCTATTTAGTTACCTTTCAGTTTCACTTAATTAGCCTTTTCTCCTGGCAATGAAACACACCAGGGCTCACAGGTGGCCTCAGTAGAGAAGTAATAGCTGGCCTTCAGAAAACAGGGAATGGGAAGTGGGAATCAAAGTATTAAGCAACTTTTCATTCCTGGACTGCCACGTCCTTACCAACATTTCTATCACCTGTAAAATGGGAGCAGAAAGTCTCTTCTATTGCCAATTTCATCAAAACAGCACATGTAATCATGAGCAGATTAAATTCACTAAACATCTGAAAAAAAGGTGAAATAAATCTGGTGTGGCAACATCATCTTGAAAACCCGAAGGCCACGTTCTCAACTAAAACCATAGACCAAGTTCTGACCCATGCTGTACCAATTTCAATTCCAATATCGTTACACTCTGACTCCCATCAAAATCCTACCCACCTCCGAATCTGGCTATACTTTTATCAGAAAAGAAAAAAACTTGGGTGGGGTGAGAGCTGAAAAGACAAACACAACAAAATATCTTTCACAGTGTCACCCAAAAAAAAATTAAAAAATAAAATAAACTGTTTATAGGCCACAGCAGTGGCTTACACCTGTAATCCCAGCACTTTGGGAGGCCGAAATGGGCAGAGCACCTGATGACGGGAGTTCAAGACCAGCCTAACACGGAGGAACCCCGTCTCTACTAAAAATACAAAATTAGACGGGCGTAGTGGCGCATGCCCGTAATCCCTGCTACTCAGAATGCTAAGGCAGAAGAATCAATCGCTTGAACCTGGGAGGCAGAGGTTGCAGTGAGCCGAGATCACACCATTGGACTCCAGCCTGAGCAACAAGAGCAAAACTCCGTCTCAAAAAACAATAAAATGTTTATAAACACATCAGTTTCTTCTCTTAGCAAATATAGAAGTTTCATTCTCCTCCTGTCTACTTAGTGTGGGTTGACTTAACCCCCTCATCTCTCAGAGCAGTTTATGGTTTTATTCAGGTTTATCGACATGGGCTTTAATCGAAGCCAGGCATTTAAAAATATTAGGAAACTGATCTTACATATATAGGTAGTCAAATATTTTTTAAAGACATCAAATGGCATTCTAATACCTCCGGTGCAAGGAAAATCCCAGCCCCAGCCTCACAGGTGTTAGCATTTCCCGATTCCTGGCTTTCCCCACTAAGAACCCCATCCCAGGAACTCATATATCAAGGCATTCTCTCCTGACTTCTGAAGCAAGGATTTTCAAAGCCAGGATTCTGGGACCACCTGAATGAGAACCACCTGGGGTAATAAGCGCTGCAGCTGCCCACGCACCACCTTATCCGAAATCCCTGGGGATGGAGTCCAAAGCTTAAGCACAAACCCTCTAAGCGATCTGAGAGAGAACACTAACCAAAATATGTAACATCTAAATGCAAATTTTCTATCTTCCAGGACAAAAGAAAACAAGCAACAGGAGAATGGCAATAATTCCACATGGGAGGAGACACACGGGTCTCGGAGATCAACACCCAAGCCACCCCTTTTTCGGACAGATATGGAAACTGAGGCCGGGAAAATGAAACAGGGAAGGACATTAAAAACATGCGGAGCCAAAGCCAATCTCGAATTTCCACGGCCTCATCTCCTGCCAATAAAGAGGTGAATGGAGACATTCTGAGTGCGAAAGGCAAGAAAGGTGGGCCTTAGGCAAGGAGCCCCGGGCCCCATGGACGACCCGCTTTGGAGACACTAGTGAGGATGTGTGGGTCCCGAGAACACTGCTGCGAAGACGCCGAGGCCGCCGGCAGGAGGTGGCCCAGGAAGCGCCCTGAGCCCCCCGCCCAACTCCAGGGCCGGGCGGCCCTCACCGCCCCTACCTTCGGCTTCCCGCAGCCGAGTGGCAGACACAACCCCCACAATTCCAGGCGGCCGCGGCGGCTACCAGCTCCCCCTGCGCAAACGCGGCGGCGACAGTCCGAGCCCGTGAGCTGGCTGCTGGTACGTCGCTCGCGGCCTCGCCCAATCGCGGGCCGCCAGAACAGCGCGCCGCGCCCCCGTCCGGCACCGAGTCGGGAGCCCCGCCCCTAGTACCGCCCTTCGCAGAGTCCTGCACGGGCTGCCCCCTTGCCCCTCCTCCGGGCGAGAAAGGGCTAAAGAGATGCCTGCACACCTGCTTCTGCTTCCAGGCTGGAACTGCAAGTTTCCTCTCTGATTTCCCAACAGCGTAATTTTTTTCTAGCGGAAGGACCTTCAGAAAGCAATCAGAGGGGTGCGGAGTAAAAATAAATCAAGTTCTTATGAGTCAGTTTGGGACAGAAGCCGAGAGTCTCGAGCAATAAAGTTTCTCGCAAATTCATGCAAAATAGGACACCTGTAAGTCACTCACTTTATATACTTGTGTATTGTGTAAATTTTTGACAAGGACCAATTATTTTAAAAACAGCATCAGGTGGCTGGGAGCGGTGGCTCACACCTGTAATCCCAGCACTTTCGGAGGTCGAGGTGTGTAGATCATTTGCGGCCATAAGTCCGAGACCAGCCTGGCCAACATGGTGAAACTCCGTCTCTACTAAATATACAAAAATTAATTGGGCGTGATAGCGGGCGCCTGTAATCTCAGCTACTGGGGAGGCTGAGGCAGGAGAATCACTTGAACCCAAGAGGCAGAGGTTGCAGTGAGCCAAAATCGTTCCACTGCACTCCAGCCTGGGTGACAAAGTGAGACTCTGTCTCAAAATATAATAAAATAAAGGTCACTTGCAGTTCTGATTTTTTATTTTAAGACAGGGTCTTGACGTGCCAGGCTCAAGGGATCCTCCCCCTCAGCCTCCAGTAGCTGGGACCACAGGCGCATGGCCCCGCTAATTTTTTTTTTTTTTTTTTTAAGGGACAGGGTGTCGCTATGTTGCCCAGGCTGGTGTCAATGCAGTTCTAATTCTGCTTTACCATTGAATATGACATTTTCTGTGCCAAGTGCTGCATATACATTATATTTACTTATAACGTCCTCTGAGCAGAATGGCATCCCCTTTTTTATAAATGGGGAAGCTGAGGCTCAGAGAGGCTAAAGGAGTTATACAAAGTCATACAGTCAGGAAGTGGTAGAACTAGGAGTTCAAGCTTTTAGGTGCCTCCAAGGTCCTGTTCTCTTTACACTGTTCACCTTTAGACCTTCCCCTTGCCCAGACATGCTTAACCTGATGAGTAAAATGGCTGCCCCCTGCCGGGCTCGGTGGCTCATACCTGTAATCCCAGCACTTTGGGAGGCTGAGGAGGGTGGATCACAAGGTCAGGAGTTTGAGACCAGCCTGGCCAACATGGTGAAACCCCATCTCTATTAAAAATAGAAAAATTAGCTGGGTATGGTCGCAGGCGCCTGTAGTCCCAGCTACTCAGGAGGTTCAGACAAGAGAACTGCTTGAACCTGGGAGGTGGAGGTTGCAGTGAGCTGAGATCGCACCACTGCACTCCAGCTTGGACAACCGAGCAAGACTCTATCTCAAAAAAAAAAAGGCTCCCCAATTCTACCCTCAGAGCCCCAGTGATGCCTGGTCATTCATGAGTGGAGAAAAGGATAATCCAGACAAGCAGTGACCTCACCAAATGGCAATATTCCCCAATAGCAAACAACCTATCTATGGAGTTCTTTGCCTTTTCCATGTACTATGAGTTTCTAGTAGTCAATTTACCTTCTTGATTATGTTTACTTCAAGCAGATGGGAAACTGACTTCATAGCCACCAAGCAAACCTTGGTTAGTAATCTGGGAAGGGAGAACAAGCCCCTGGGCAGTAGTTCAGTGAATAGTGCCGGTTTATGAGAAGGGTCCAGATAAAACACCTGGGGCCTGAGTTAGAAAGAGACTAGCTCACTTTTCTCCTGGAACACACAGGAGACCAGTGAGAAGAACTGGGCCTAAGAATAATTCTAGCTTATGTCACTCCCTAGTACCATGAGGACAAATAATAAATGTTCAACAAATACCTATCTCATGAGTGATAAATTGCAGAATTAACATATAAATTATAATTGAGACTGGCACAAGTTATAAAAAAGATATTAATAAAGTGCTACAAGAATAAGAGCCTTAAAAATAGAATAAGCTCAAATCTTATAATAGCATGAATAAATGAATGCTTGGGCCAAGAGAAGAGTCCAGCTGAACACAGCTGCCAGCGCTCAAAGCAGGGCTTGTCTTTCTCCTTGGGACAGATCTAACTAGCTCAAGTCTGTGGTAGGAAAGGGATAGTCTGCCTCCCATTCCCACCGCAGCCCCGGTCTTCAAACCTTGAAAAACCCTGCCTTGGTCTGAATGTTGGTGTTTCTCCTAAATTCGTAAGGTGGAACCTTATATCCAATGTGATAGTATTAAAAGGTGGCCAGGTTGAAGGGAGCTGCCTTGCCTCTTCTGCGATGGATCTCCGCTTCCACCATATGAAACTAAGGCAGCAAGGCACCATCTTTGAAACAGAAAGCAAGCTCTTACCAGCCCCTAAATCTGTTGGCACTTTGATCTTGGATTTCCGGGTCTCTAGAACAGTAAGCAGTACATTTCTATTTATAGATTCCACAGTCAAGGTTTTTGTTATAGTAGTCCCAGCAGACTAAGACATACCCTGGCAGAACTACCTTCTCAGAGGAAATTGCTCTGAAATCAAGCCTATTGAGCTGCTGAAGCCAGTGTGCAGGGTTGGACCTAAGAAGACAGCCTCTACTTACACAGCCCCCAAGCAAGGAGGCCCACTGTTTAGGTGAGAAGTTTTAAGTCCAGGGATCACAGTGGGTGCTGGGATTGTGATAGTCTCCTCTCTTTGTTTCCTTGTATAAGTCTTGGAACTGGGCAAAAGTAAGTTTAAAATTTTCTTTTGGGCCATGCGTGATGACTCATGCCTGTAATCCCAGCACTTTGGGATGCCGAGGTGGGTGGAATACCTGAGGTCAGGAGTTCAAGACCAGCCTGGTCAACATGGCAAAACCCCATCTCTACTAAAAAATATAAAAATTAAAGTCAGGCACAGTGGCTCACACGTGTAATCTCAGCACTTTGGGAGGCAGAGGTGGGCAGATCATGAGGTCAGGAGATCAAGACCATCCTGGCCAACATGGCGAAACCCTGTCTATGCTAAAAATACAAAAATTAACTGGGGCTGGTGGTGTGTGAATGTAATCCCAGCTACTCAGGAGGCTGAGGCAGGAGAATCGCTTGAACTGGGGAGTCAGAGGTCACAGTGAGCCGAGATCACGCCATTGCACTCCAGCCTGGCGACAGAGCAAGACTGCCTCTCAAAAATAAATAAATAAATAAAATACAAAAATTAGCGAGCCATAGTGGCGGGCACCTGTAATTCCAGCTACTTGGGAGGCTGAGACAGGGAGAATTGCTTGAACCTGGGAGGCAGAGGTTGCAGTGAGCCAAGATCATGCCACTGCACTCCAACCTGGGTGACAGAGTGAGACTCTGTCTCAAAAAAAAAAAAAGAAAGACTCCAGCCTGGGTGACACAGCAAAACTGTCTCAAAAAATAATAATAATAAAGAAATCAGTCTTGTTTTTAAAAAAAAAAAAAAAAAAAGCCAGGTGTGGTGGCTCATGCCTGTAATCCAAGCACTTTGGAGGCCAAGGCAGGCGGATCACCTGAGGTCAGGAGTTCAAGACCAGCCTGACCAATATGGTGAAACCCTGTCTTAAAAAAAAAAAAAAAATTCCAGATTCTCCCCAGACACCGAGGATGGGATCACGGCACCCCGAACCCTCCTCCTGCTGCTCTTGGGGGCCCTGGCTGTGGCTCTGAGACCTGTGGGGCAACGCTCCGAGTGGGAGTGGGGAGCTGCAGGCGCTGTGGATGGAGCAGGAGGGGCTGGAGTATTGGGACTGGGAAACAGTGACCCTCAAGGCCAATGCACAGACTCACCTAGGGAACCTCTGGGGACCCTGCTCCGCTACCACAACCCGAGTGAGGCCGGATCTCACACCCTCCAGACGACCTATGGCTGCAACCTGGGGCCTGATGAGCACCTCCTCCATGGGTATTACCAACATGCCTTTGATGGCAAGGATTACATTGCCCTGAATGAGTACCTGTGCTCTTGGACAGAGGCTGACATGACTGCTCAAATCACCCAGCTCAAGTTGGAGGCCGCGCATGCAGAAGGGCTCAGGGCCTACCTGGAGGGCATATACCTGAAGTGGCTCCACAGACACCTGGCCAAGGGGAAGGAGACACTGCAGCATGCGGACCCCCCAAAGACACATGTGACCCATCACCCTGTCTCTGACCATGAGGCCACCCTGAGGTGCTGGGCCCTGGCTTCTACCCTGCGGAGATCACACTGACCTGGCAGAGGGATGGGAAGGACCAAACTCAGGACACCGAGCTTGTGGAGACCAGGCCAGCAGGGGATGGAAACTTCCAGAAGTGGGCAGCTGTGGTGGTGCCTTCTGGAGAAGAGCAGAGATACACGTGCCATGTGCAGCATAAGGGATTGCCCGAGCCCCTCACCCTGAGGTGGGAGCCGTCTTCCCAGCCCACTGTCCCCATCGTGGGCATCATTGCTGACCTGGTTGTCTTTGGAGCTATGGCCATTGGAGCTGTGGTCACTGCTGTGATCTGGAGGAGGAAGAGCTCAGGTGGAAAAGGAGGGAGCTACTCTCAGGCTGCATGCAGGGACAGTGCCCAGGGCTCTGATGTGTCTCTCACGGCTTATAAAGCCTGAGACAGCTGCCTCGTGTGGGTTTGAGATGCAAGATTTCTTCACGCCTCACCTTTCTGACTTCAAGAGCCTCTGGCATCTCTTTCTGTGAAGGCATCTGAATGTGTCTGCGTTCCTGTTAGCATAATGTGAGGAGGTGGAGAGACAAATCCCCCCATGTCCACTGTGACCCCTGTCCCCACGCTGACCTGTAGTCCCTCCCCAGTCATCTTTCCTATTCCAGAGAGGTGGGGCTGAGCATCTCCATCTCTGTCTCAACTTCATGGTGCACTGAGCTGCAACCTCTTACTTTCTTACTGAAAATAAGAATTTGAATATAAATTTTTTTTTCTCAAATATTTGCCATGAGAGGTTGATGGGTTAATTAAATAAGTTAATTCCTAAAATTTGAGAGAGAATATAGAGACCTGAGAACCTTCCAAAAAAAAATTCGTTTTAAATATCTAAACAACAGGCTAAAAACCATCTCCCTCTTGCAGTTCTGTTGGAGAGTTTCTAGATTCTCCATTCCACTCTCCAGAAGAGCAAAGGAAGGCTTGGAAGGGTAGAGAGCCTGAGGAATCACCTTCAACCCAGCCACCATCAATCAAATCAAAGGAAACCACAGCACCCACCCCCAGAGCCCTGGCTAGGCAGAGATTTATACGATCAATTTGGCCTTTTTCAACAAGCAGAATGTGTTGAGTAGATCATTTCTCCTCTGATCAGCCTTTCTCAATTAATCTCCCACAAGCCTCATACCCTGTTGTGTGAAAGCATTCCTGGCATCAGGAATTGGCTCCCTGCTCTCTCTGGATGGGCCTCAAATGTTGAGTGGGGAGCAGGAGCCCTCACTCTGTCTCGGGACTACTGACCTGCTTCCTCCCCTCCGCCCCTTCCTCTTTGCCCACCCAGCTTTCAGAACACACCTCAGATCCTGCTGCCAGGAGTCCCTTCTGGACTGCAGACATTTTATTCACTTGAACATGAACACCAAGCCAGCCATTGGCTGTGGGGATACAACTGTGAAACAGTCCTACTGGTTCTTACCCTTGAAGAGCTCAGGGTCAAATGAGAGACACAGAAATGTAAACAGAGCAAAACAGCCTGGCAAGCACCATTTAACAGAAATATTAAAGGGCTAGGTGCAGTAATTCATGCCTGTAATCCCAGCACTTTGGGAGGCTGAGGTGGGCAGATCACCTGAGGTCAGGAATCGAGACCAGCCCCTGACCAACATGGAGAAACCCTGTCTCTACTAAAAATACAAGAATTAGCCAGGTGTGGTGGCACACGCCTTTAATCCCAGCTTCTCAGGAGGCTAAGGCAGGCGAATCTCTTGAATCCAGGAGGCAGAGGTTGCAGTGGGCCGAGATCATGCCATTGCACTCCAACCTGGGCAACAAGCATGAAACTCAGTCTCAAAAAAAAAAAAAAAAAAAAAGCTCCATTGTACAACAGTGCTTGTGAGGTCCTGAAAGGCAGTACAAGGGCAGGGGTGTGAAGCCAGAGCACTCAGCATTCCCAGAAAAGCTAAGTCAAGCAGCCAACATAGAAGAAGCAGGAAGCTAAGGGGCATTCCAGGGGAAATCAAGAGGTACTGCTCCCGAATCAGATTTCTCCACTGCCTGGGCTGCACTCAGTTGGAGTGGGTTGCCACGGCCAGGGCAAGGCAGAGACCAGATGTTCTCTACTGTAGGACCCAAGCAGCACCTCAGCAGCTTCTTCACGACAGTCAAGAATTCTAGATCTCTCCACCCCAAGGGGCTTCAAGGACTATAGTAACTATGCTTTTCTCTGTCTCTGGCTTATTTCTAAAAACCTCAGAAGCAAAAAAGTGCCAGGGCAGGGGTGCGGGGAGGGAAGGAAGCATTTCCAGCCCCTGTCAAAGGGATGTGAGGGTTCTAGATGGCAGCCTCCCACCTGCTGGAAGGCTTTGGCAGCTCCAAGGGGCTTGGACCAGAAGAAGGTCAATAAATTTAAGCTGTGTTTGCTCTCAGCTAAACAAGCCTTTTCAGGTTCAAAGGAAAAACACTCAAAAGAAGAGACCCAGAAGATAGACAAGATTTCAAAGTGTTCTCACCAAACAGCTTCCCACTGAGGCCAAAGCAAAGCCCCAAGAACCATGACTCTGTCTCCAGAAGCACCTTCACCCACACACCTATTAATGTACACAGACACCTGACACCAGTGCACTGCCTGCAGACACCCACAAAAGCACAGAATCACAGGAATCCATACACAGGGCAGACACAGCCACAGCCCTGTCCCAGTTATCTACTGCTGCATAACAAAGCATCCCTAACTTGGTAGCTTAAAACAACAATAATTTATTTAGCAGTTTGGACAAACCTTAGCAGGGAAGAGTTGACTCTGTTCCATACACTGTCAGCTAGGGTGGCCCGACAACAGCAAGATGCTCGCCCTCATGGCTGGCAATTGACGATGGCTGCCGGTTGAAACCTCAGCTGGTGCTGTCAGCTAGGACACTGACAAGTGGCCTCTCCAAATAGCTGCTTGGCCCCCTCACAGCTTGGTGGCTGGTTTCCAAGAATGAGCATCCCAAGAGAACATGGCATAAAAGTATGTGGTATTTTTATGATCTAGCCTCAGAAGTCCCATAGCATCACTTCTGCTGTACTCTATTGGTTGAGTGAGTCACAAAGGTCAGTCCACATTCAAGGAGAAAGAGAACCCACCTCTCATTGAGAGGAGTATTAATATCCTCTTGTAAAGAGAACATGCTGAATGGGCTGTATCCTGGCAGACACTTCTAGAAAATACAGTTTTCCACAGCCCTGGCATACACACTTACACACATGAACACAGCTTACACATTCAGACTCATACAACACACAGACATGTTTATACATATAAATTAAAACATTCTGCATTCACTTACATGAACACTCACACAAAGATATGCACATGACTACAGGTATATTATTTACATAATTTTACAACTAGGTATGTATAATCAGACATGCCGACATACACATATAGAGTAGCCTTGAAAACTCTAAGAGACCCTAAAGAAATCAGGCTGGGCTGGGCACAGTGGCTGACACTTGTAATCTCAGCACTTTGGAGGCTGAAGCGAGTGGATCATAAGATCAGGAATTCGAGACCAGCCTGGCCAACATGGTGAAACCCTGTCTCTACTAAAAATACAAAAATTATCCAGGCTTGGTGGCACATGCCTGTAGTCACAGCTACTTGGGAGGCTGAGGCAGGAGAATTGCTTGAACCTGGGAGGCGGAGGTTGCTGTGAGCCGAGATCGCACCATTGCACTCCAGCCTGGGTAACGAGTGAAACTCCGTCTCAAAAAAAAAAAAAAAAAAAGAAATCAAGCTGGAAGGCTGGGCACAGTGGCTCATGCCTGTAATCCTAGCACTCTGGGAGCCAAGGTGGGTGGATCACTTGAGGTTGGGAGTTCAAGACCAGCCCGACCAACATGGAGAAACCCTGTCTCTACTAAAAATACAAAATTAGCTGGGTGTGGGGAAGTATACCTGTAATTCTAGCTACTCGGGAGGCTGAGGCAGGAAAATTGCTTGAGCCCAGGAGGCAGAGGTTGCAGTGAGCTGAGATCTCGCCATGGCACTCCAGCCTGGGCAACAAGAGCAAAACTCCATCTCAAAAAAACAAAAAAGAAATCAGGCTGGGGAAGATGGCGTATGTATCAGCTGTCCCCTCCCCCTCCTCCATTTTTCTACCAAGAATTCATACCTACAAAAGTATGAGTGTGAAATGCAGAATTTACCAAAGGTATCATAGGGATGATGGAGGAGGGTAATACCACACTCCCCAAGCAAACAACTTGAAAGCCCGTAGGAGCAGTCTTCTCCCCTCAGGTCCCTCTCCCGCCCAGTATTGCCTCCATGGATCACTTTTTACCTCCTCTTTCCCTTGCACCACAGCTGTTCAGCCAGTTTACATTTCCCTCTTCTGAATTCTCCCTCAAGCTTCCAAATTCCTCACCGCTTTATTATACAGAGCAGTTCAGATTTGCTTAGCCCCATGATAAAGGGTTAATGTAAAGACAGATATCAGATGTAAAGGAGGCGACTCTCCCTCTCATGGGCCACTTGTTCTCTCACTCTTGTCATCTGTATCACACCAAGATGTCTGACTGGCCAAGAGGAATTAACTCTATATTCCAAATTTGGGCCGAGCCAGGTTGTCTGGTGACATAGTTTGGATATTTGTCCCCACCTAAATCTCCTGTTGCAATGTAATCCCCTCTGTTGGAGGTGGGGCCTGGTGGCAGTCTTTGGGTCATGGGGGCAGATCTCCCATGGCTTGGTGCTGTCCTCACCATAGTGAGTAAGTTCTCACGAGATCTAAGTGTTTAAGTGTGTCGCACCTCCCCCCACCTTGCTCTTGCTTTTGCCATGTGGCGTGCCTGTTCCTGCCTCACCTTCTTCCATGAGTAAAAGCTGCCTGAGGCCTCCCCGGAAGCTGAGCAGATGCCAGTGCCATGCTTGTACAGCCTGCAGAACAGTGAGCCAATTAAATCTCTTTCTTTTAAAGTTACCCAATCTCAGGTATTTCTTTATAGCAATGCAAGAAGGGCCTAATACAACTAGAATTGTTCATTGTAGTCTTCACCACCACCCCCCTCACCCCTGCCCAACCTGGAAGAGTCCTATAAACCAAGCCATTGCAGGCCTGTGTGGACCCCCATTCCTGGTCCAATCTACACCTACCCCGCCACAAGAGCCAATGCGGTTTCCTCAGCCAGGGAGCTACAGAAGGGATGGATGGTATCTGCTGTAAGAAAATCCTGAGCACGGTGAGTGCAGTAACTGACCACAGCAGCACAGTCCTTGGTGAGCAAGCCAATCATGGGAGAATCCTTCTCTCTGCTGACACTGTCTCTAACGAAGGTTCCCACATGCCAGAGCTCTGGGACAGTGGAGAATAAAGATTGCTGTGCAGCCTGTTCAGAACATTAGAAAATCGAAGCCAATATAATTGTCCGCAGAGAACCTGAATTTGGAATTCTGTAGCAGTTAAGACAACTTTGAAATCAGACAGGGCCAAGTCCTTACTGCCTCTCACTAGCTAAGCAAGTCACTCAACTCTAACCAGCCTTAGAGACTAGCTTTCTCATCTGTAAAATGGAGATGATATTAGTACTTATCTCAACCATTGTTATGGAGATTAAATGAGATAATAACAAGTAAAGCATTCAGCCTAGTGCCTGGCACACAGGAAGTTCTGAATATATCTTAGCTATTTTTTTATTTCTTATTTTTTGAGACAGAGTTTTGCTCTTGCGGCCCAGGCTGCAGTGCAATGGTGCAATCTCGGCTCACTGCAACCTCTGCCTCCCAGGTTCAAGTGATTCTCCTG